TCTCGCTAGAACGGAGCATCTGCAGCCTGCAGCGTCTCCTCCTATAGCACCTCTACCCTGTGTACCTCCACCCACTGTTAATAGGACTCCTAGCATCTCCTTATCACCATCCCTACAGTTTGATGGCAATATCCAGGAATGCAGGGGTTTTCTTAATCAGGTGGAGTACCATTTTGAGGCCTCACCAGGGTCATTCCCCACGGACAGAGCAAGAATTGGTTATCTAATGAATCAATTAAAGGGCAAGGCCCTTGCCTGGGCTAATCCGTTGTGGGAGAGTAATCGGAGCATAGCTCATAATTACCAGGAATTCCTTGCCGAATTCAAGCTCACGTTTGAGCCATTGGGTAGAGAGGATGACGCCTCCACTGCCCTAATGCACATCAGACAAGGTAACCGGTCTATCTCGGATTATGCTATTGAATTCCGTACCTTAGCTTCCGAGGTAGACTGGACTAACAATGGGTTAATCTCAGCATTCAAAAAGGGTCTCTCAGAGACTATACTAGATGAGATAGCCGCTAAAGAATTACCTAAGAGTCTTAACGAATTTATTACGTTTGTCATGCATATTGATAATAGGTTAAGACTCAGAGAAGTCACCAGAAGCAAGACCAGACGTACGGCTATGTCCCTAGCACCTCAATTCTCTAAACCTGTTTTGTCTAACCTCCCTGTACAGTCCGAACCCGAACCTATGCAGTTGGGGGTCACTAGACTGTCAGAGGCCGAAAAACAGTATAGGAGAAGGGAGGGGTTATGCCTATATTGCGGTAGAAAGGGACATATGATAACTAATTGTCCAGTGCGTCCGGAAAACTTCCGCACCTAAGAACCTTAAGGGGACAGATCTTAGGTGTGATGGAGTTGTCCTCTAACAAAAACAAAAGTAGATTCCTCCTTGAGGTATCTATTTCCCTTGATAACAAGAAGTTTTCTTGCAGTGCCCTAATGGACTCAGGTGCTGCTGGAAATTTTATTGATGTCCAGTTTATTAGGGGTAATGAGATACCGGTCAGGGAGAGACCTACGCCGCTAGCTGTAGAGGCTATTGATGGTAGACCACTCACACAACCGCTTATAACCCACGAAACTGTCCCTATTACGATCTCCATTGGGGCCTCCCATAGGGAGGAGATGACGTTTCAGGTTATTACTTCTCCATCATGTCCTATCATATTAGGGTTTCCGTGGCTGAGTAAGCACAATCCCTATATTGACTGGGCTAATGGGGAGATATTAGAATGGGGTAAAGAGTGTATGGGGAGATGTATAAAACCAGTACTAAAGAGATTGGATACTATTGACCTTCCCACTACCACTCCCCAAACTCCTGGAGTTCCCATACAATACCGAGAACTTCAGGAGGTGTTTAACAAGGCTCAATCCGATGTATTGCCTCCCCACAGAGCATATGACTGTGCCATTAACCTGTTTCCAGGCGCTATGCCACCTAAGGGGGCAGTTTATGCCTTATCTCCCCAGGAGAGTAAAATAATGGAGGAATACATCAAAGAATCCTTGAGCAAAGGGCACATAAGAAAGTCATCCTCACCAGCTGGTGCAGGATTCTTTTTTGTTGAGAAAAAGGGTGGTGAGTTACGCCCTTGCATAGACTACAGGGCACTTAATAAAATCACTGTAAAAAATGCATACCCTATTCCACTCATTTCCGAATTGTTCGATAGACTTCAGGGAGCTAAAGTATTTACTAAGCTTGACCTTAGGAGCGCTTACAATTTGGTTAGAATTAAAGAGAATCATGAGTGGAAGACGGCATTTAATACCCGTAGTGGACACTATGAATATCTGGTAATGCCATTTGGGTTATGCAACGCCCCGGCCGTATTCCAAGACTTTATAAATGATGTACTCAGGGAATTCATTTACTCATTTGTCTTGGTTTATTTGGACGATATTTTGGTGTATTCCCTGATCTTCAAACTCACCACTCCCATGTGAAACAGGTTCTGCAGACGTTGTTGAAAAATAAACTTTATTGTAAATTAGAAAAGTGCATATTTGACCAGCCTGAAGTCCACTTTTTGGGTTACAACATCTCTGCATCGGGATTTCAAATGGATCCTAAAAAACTAGAGGCTGTACTACACTGGCCATTACCCTCTGGTTTAAAAGCCATTCAAAGGTTTATTGGTTTTGCCAACTATTACAGAAGATTCATCAAGGGATTTTCTTCTGTAATAGCCCCAATCACAAATATGACTCGCAAAGGGGTTAGTAGCACGGTATGGTCCAAAGAGGCTGTGAATGCTTTTGAGACTCTTAAACAAAGATTTGCCTCTGCGGACATACTAAAACATCCTGACACCAGTAAACCTTTTATATTGGAGGTTGATGCATCCGAGACAGGGGTAGGGGCTGTTCTCTCTCAGAGAGAAAGCCAGGGAACACCATTGCATCCTTGTGGCTACTTCTCCAGAAAGATGTCTCCTGCTGAGCGCAACTATGATATTGGCAATAGAGAACTGTTGGCCATTATTCTTGCCCTCAAGGAGTGGCGACATCTTTTGGAGGGTTCCAAGGACCCCCTGTTGATCATAACCGACCACAAAAATCTGGCATATATAGGGGATGCCAAACGTTTGTCTTCCAGACAGACTAGATGGTCACTGTTCCTTTCACGTTTTAACTTTCTCATTACTTATAGACCTGGTTCTAAAAATACCAAGGCTGATGCCTTGTCCAGGCAATTTGATAATGAGTCAGCTCCGGAACAGATGACATCTCCTATTATTCCAGCAGAGTGTATTATTGCTACTACTGTCCTCTCACTGTCTTCTCCACTGCTTGGCACCATACTGGAGGCCCAGCCTCAGGCGCCCAGTGGTAAACCGTGTGATAAACTGTTCGTTCCCCTATGTGAAAGGGTTAATATCATGAAAGTGTTCCATGACAATATAACTGCTGGACACCCGGGCATCAATAAGTCCACTGCCGCGATCACTAGATCATTTTGGTGGGATTCACTCAGGAAAGATGTAAAGGAGTATGTGCAGGCATGTTCTGTGTGTGCAGTTTCTAAGGTGACTCATGCACTTCCTTGTGGCCTGTTGCAGCCTCTTCCTGTTCCTGAGATTCCATGGTCCCACCTATCCATGGACTTTATTGTTGAGCTTCCTAGCTCTGCTGGGTTCACTACTATTCTCATGGTTGTAGACCGATTTTCTAAGATGGCTCACTTCATTCCTCTCAAGAAGTTGCCATCTTCGCAAGATTTGGTCCTAATTTTCATACGTGAAATTGTCCGTTTGCATGGCATCCCCCACAATATTGTGTCTGATAGGGGCTCTCAGTTTGTGTCCAGGTTCTGGAGGGCGTTCAGTAAACAATTGGGGATTGATCTCTCCTTCTCCTCCTCCTACCATCCACAGACCAATGGTACAGCTGAGAGGGCTAACCAGTCATTAGAAGTTTATTTGCGTTGTTTTATTAATAGCACACAAGACAATTGGTCCGAACTACTCCCGTGGGCCAAGTTCGCTAGAAACAATGCTGTTCATGACTCCTCTGGGCACAGTCCATTTTTTTGTCAGTAATGGTAGGCATCCTACGGTTCTCCCTGCTGTATTTTCTGATACTGCCATTCCTGCTCTGGATGAGCGTCTGGCCTCCATTCGGGATACCTGGGTTAAGGTTCAAACTGCTCTAGGGGCTGCTGCTGAACGCTTCAAACATTTTGCTGATAAGCGTAGGAGTGCCAACCCGGTGTACCAAGTGGGGGACCGGGTTTGGTTGTCATCTCGCAACATCAAGCTTAAGGTCCCTAGCATGAAGTTTGCCCCCAGATTCCTTGGTCCCTATAGAGTGCTTCGTAGGATCAATCCAGTGTCTTACTCTCTGGCTCTTCCTGCATCTTTAGGGATTCCCAACACTTTTCATGTGTCCTTACTCAAACCTCTTGTCTGCAATAGATATACTGTTCCTTGTGTTCCTCCCCCTCCGGTGGTGGTGGGTGGTCAGGAAGAGTATGAGGTATCTTCTATCGTGGATTCTAGGTTTTCTCGGGGCACTTTACAGTACTTGGTTGTTTGGAAAGGTTACGGTCCTGCTGATCGTTCTTGGGTTTCGGCTCCTGACCTGCATGCGGGCCGTAAGATCCGCGCTTTTCACGCTAAATTTCCTCTCAAGCCTGGTCCTGTCCGCCCGGTGGGCGTTCTTCAGGTGGGGGGTAATGTCACATATTCATCCGCTTATAGAAATGTGGTTAATGACATTTACTGTCCACACAGGAAAAGTTGTGCCGAGCAGCAACCTAATCCACAGAAGGGTTAATGCTGAGCAGTAATTGTGCAAATGAAACCTGGTGTCATGTATTCATCCGCTTAGAGAAAAGTGATTAATGACATTTACTGTCCACACAGGAAAAGTTGTGCCGAGCAGCAACCTAATCCACAGAAGGGTTAATGCTGAGCAGCAATTATGCAAATGAAACCTGGTAACTGACTTTGGGGTCAAAGGCCGGTTACAGCCTATCAGAACTAAAGGAGGGGTATTTAGGCCCAGTTCTCAGCCTGCTCAGTGCCCTGTCGTGGTTTCCCTTGTGGTTGTCTGAGAGCGCGTTCCTGTTTATAGTTTTCTACCTGGTTTTTGACTTTGGCTTTGTTTATTGACTTCTCTATATTCTGGTATCCTGACTCCTGGCTTTCCTCATCGCTGTGTCCCTTTCTGTGTTCCCTGACCTCGGCTAGTATTTATGACTATTCTTTGTACGTTAAATCCGGCCATTCTAAAGACCGGTAATACGTTACTTATTTGTCATCCGTGCTGTACAGTTCTACGTGCTGGATCAAACAGTAATCCTGACAGATTGTGACCGTCTTTCAAAACGTTTCCAGGAGATGAAAAATACAATGTGCAGTATAGACAGCAGGCAGCCAAAAGGATTTTGATGATTTGTAAGTGGAACCATATGAGGGGAACTCTAGTATACGCTTATATAGACATTTACAGTAACAGCTAGGGTAGTTTTATTTCAACTACTTCTTTTGACCAACAATGCCATTAAGAAAGCATACCTTCACTCTGCTAGATGGTAAGGTTAAATTTTAAGTGACCTTTTTTTATTCATGTTTCCACTCATTACAAAACTGCAAAAATTATTCTCAAATCCAAAAAACAGAAGATGTTTATCAGATATGACACGAAAAGTTACAGTTACATCTTCTGTTTCCAGTTTGGTTACATAGGTGTGCGTGTAGGCATTAATGACCTGGAAACATTCCATAAATACAAAGAGAAGGAAAGTTTTAGAGAGATAAAGACATGCAGAGTTCTACCAAGAGAAGAGATGCATAGGCTTGGCAAAGCAAGATCTTTTTTTGGGGGGCCTGGACAGCTTTTTTTAGTCATCTTTGTCTTTAGCGCTGTGTTTTAGGATATGTGTAAACTCAATGTAGTTGAAGTTTCTCTTCTTGTCGATTGGCGCCTCTCTGAAAATCTCATCCACTTTGGTCACCCATAGTAGTCAGCAGCTCTCTCAGGTAGTTGAAGTTTCTCTTTTTGTCGACTGGCGCCTCTCTGAAAATCTCATCCACTTCGGTCACCCATAGTAGTCAGCAGCTCTCTCCGGTTCTCCTCTTGAATGAAGCCTGTTCCTTCTTCATCAAAACATGCAAATGCATTCCTGATGACATCTTCAGGGTCTGTACCATTCAGTTTCTCACCAAACATGGTAAGGAACATGGTAAAGTTAATAGGTCCAGGAGCTTCATTCATCATGGCCTGTAGGTACTCGTCTGTGGGGTTCTTACCAAGAGACGCAAGCATGTCGTGCAGAACTTCTTTATCAATAAAGCCATCACGGTTCTGATCAATCATGTTGAAAGCCTCCTTAAACTTCTGAATTTGGGATTGATCAAACATGGCAAACACATTGGATGTTGCACGCTGAGGGCGCTTCTTTGTGGTCTTTGTCTTTGCTCTTTTACTTGACATTTTGGCGGTTTGTTAGTCTTCGCTCACGGTAAGAAGAAGGAGGCTCGGTGACTGTTGGTTTGCTTCTGGCTCTCACACAGACGTTAGTACCCAATACCGGCCAACACCCCTACTCCCTGATATTTTTAAACCTTTGCCCCTCTAATTTAAGACTATGTCCTCTTGTTGTGGTAGTTTTCCTTCTTTTAAATATAGTCTCCTCCTGTTGATACCCTTTATGTATTTAAATGTTTCTATCCTATCCCCCCTGTCTCGTCTTTCCTCCAAGCTATACATGTTAAGATCCTTTGCTGCCTAGGCTAATGCTTCTTCATTGGCCCAAGCAGTACAGAGAGCTGATGGGGACATGTATCATATTAAAACATTAAAAATGGTTTAATACTGAATTGAAGGACTGTGTCAGGGGACACAAGACACTATAGCCACTTCAATAAGATGAAGCGGTTATAGCTCTTATAGGGTGCCTTTTTTAAAAAGAGGAAAGCTAGGAAAAAAAGGAATATACTATAGAGAAAAGTAAATGGATTAAATTGAGTATTTAATCTGGCTAGTTTTTGAGTGTAAACAAAAATCTGTAATCGTGCAAACCTTTGTCATTCAAATTCCTTTTGTGTTTTTGGCCTTTGTCTGATTATTAGTTCTGTTACAGTATCTTTTTACATTGGAGAAAATGATAGTGACACTGATGAAGATGAAGGCTTTGAAAGTGACTGCCGGTAAGTACTGGGATGTAAAAAAAACATAGGGGTTAATCCACACATACAGTTTTTTTTCATATTATTTCTGTTATTTTTGTGTGATACTTTAATAGTTAATTTTTGGGATGGGATAAACACTTAAAATTGCTTTTTAAGTGTTATTTTAGTTTTAACTCTTGAAAATGCAAACATTATTTGTATTTTCATGTTATCAGCTAATCCTTATTTTCAGGCAGATATTTGACCAAGATTGCTTTATCTTTGGTTTTCTGAGCATGCAGTACAATGTATACATAGGTAGTATAATAATCGCACTACTTTAAAAATCTGAATGTTGGAGAAAGACAATACAGTTGGCATAAAGTAAGCATTGAGACCTGATGTTGAAAATGTGAATCATAATTAAAAATATTCTGCTTATAATAGTGTGAAATATACTTGTGGATATGTTTAGGGCTTATTAAAATAAATATTGTAAGCTTGATCACTTTGATAAAATCACTGGTGATTATCAGTGTAATTTTGATTGGACAGTCAATTGTACCTTTTATTTCAATTTGCAATGCAAGGTTTTTAAACCCGGATATCAAAGTTGTCGAGAAATAAGATTAATCTCTTGATGATGGCTTCAGTTTGCTTGTTTTTTAATAAAACATTTTTGGTATTTTTGACGTGTGTGTTCAACTGCAATTTCAATCTATTATATACAATTTTTGCAAGGGCATAAATAAAAAAGATTTTAGTTTGATGTGACATACACATATATACATTTTCATAAACTGTAAAAAAATAAATAAATAAATACAAAAACCACATAATGTGTAATTGGTGCAGCTAAAGAAAATGCAGCGTACGTTAATTTATTTGCCCTGATTTTCACAGAGTGCATCTTATGTTTGGGAATGCAGTTTATTTTTTGTTCGTTACTGGTTGCTAACTACAAGGAGTAAAATAGAATTTCCGTGTGGAACAATTTCACAAATTGGTATGTTTGTCCTCGAAGTTTAATAGCCATTGCAGAAAACAAAATTGCCACAAAAAAGGATAGAAAAAGTAGAAATTACACGGTATTTACCTACAGGTATTTTGACACTTTTTACTTAGCTATTTAACTGCCAATCTCCGATTTAAAAAAAATTGAGGGGGGTTGTCACTCTCCCTGGGGTCTAGTGGGGCTGCTGGGTAGTCGGGCGGCGCTGGCGAGGGAGCACTTTCCCCTGAGTGCTCTGCTCAGCTCCCTCTCGCGCCGCAGAGTGATGCTGGGAGCCTGAATATGACGTCATATTCCGGCTCCAGGTGACCGGCATCACTCTGCAGCGTGCAAGGGAGCTGAGCAGAGCGCTCAGGGGAAAGTGCTCCCTCGCCAGCGCCGCCTGACCGCCTGCCTGGACATTTGCCCTGGGCAATTGGGGGTGGCTTTTTTTGCAACCCCCTGGAAAATGCCGCCCAAGGCGAATGCCTTGTTTGGCTCGCGGCTAAAACGTCCCTGCCCTTAGAAGTGACATTAAAGACTATGTAGGGGCATGTCAAATTTGTGCTGTTTCCAAAACGTCCCACAAATATCCTCCTGGGTTGCTACAGCCACTCCCAATACCTAATGCTCCATGGACCCATTTAGCCATAAATACTCATTTTTGAAGGGGTGACTGTGCCATGTTAAATTCCTTGAACCTCTTCCATTGTTTTTTTTTTTTTGCTCTGACCAGTGTTGTTTGAGCAAAAATACAATAGAGGGGACATGGTTCAGTCAAGTTTTATGGAGGTTAACCCTAAAACTATATACAATATGAACCTTGACTTATAACTCCCTTACAACAATAAACAGTAGTGAAAAAGGCAAAAGCATAGCCATGTTTACATGCAAGACGTGTGTTGTCTGATAACAAAGAGCATGGTCATAGGAGAAAAGGAAAGAGGGCGAGGGTATGATGCCAGGAGGTGCCTGAGGGTGGTACCCTCTTCCATTCAGGTAGGAAAAGTAGACGGAAAGGCTAAATGAAGAGACCCAAATTTGGACCCTGAGGAGAAATAGTCTCCACTGAGGGAGCCTAGATTTTCAAACCGTGCTCAGTAGTTTCATGAAAATCAGCTGTCTGTTTTTCCATTCTAACCATATAGCGCCTTCAAAAAAGATCTTCCCATAAAGGTTTGTCCTGAGGGCAACTCCACCAGGCATGCAAATAAGTGTCCGCATCCTGTTAAACAAGAATAAATCCTTCCTGGTGTAAGTATGGACAATCTAGAGGAATGGATGTGCCAAAACATAAAAAAAAAAAGTATTGTGCATTTTGTGATCATACATGTCAGTCTAATCTTCCCCTACCAACTTCTTCCTCAAGTCAGCATCCCATTTATGAGTATATATTTATTAGTCAGAGTATGAAATAGAGATGAAATGTGAATATAAGAAAGATCACTCCTGATCTTTAACAGTGAAGTCGGCACATATGTTCATAGAAAGTAGCCTTGCTCAAAGTGTAGTTTGTGTGCAAAATGACTAAGCTGGGTAGTCTGGAAAAGTTCTGAGGAACATTATGCTGCTCGACCAGTTGTCCCCTAGAAACCACTTCTTACCTTTCTAAGCTCTGCTTCACTCCCACCTCATTTGATTGCTATTTCCTGTCCTAATGTGATTTATACCCCACCTCCTATAGACTGTAAGCATGGTCCTCTTCAACCTATCATTCCTGTAGGTTTTCTTGTAATTGTCCTATTTATAGTTAAATCCTCCTTCTCATAATATTGTAATGCGCTACGGAATCTGTTGGCACTAAATAAATGGCAATAATAAATAAATGAGGTGCTGAAACTTGATGACTGCTTTCTGGATCAACTAGGTGAAGGCTGCCGGGGACATCCTTCAGGAAATCCAGAATTCTAAATTAACTGAGTGTGTCTAATATCCTCAAAGGAGATCCTATATCTCTTCTAGAGACTCAGATAATGCTGAGGAGCTGGGCTAGGATGGCACATTAGATAAGGGGCCAGTCTGATCCATCTTCTCTTCTAAGGACACCCATATTGCTTTATCTTTGGTCAGGTTAATTTGTGACTGCAAATTGGGCCACCTTGTAGTAAGGTTGGGGAGTGTATATTTAATTTAGTTTTGATTTTTCTATAATTTATTTTACTGTATTTGACCTGCTACTTATTTATATGGTATATCTGGCAAGTTGTTTAAAACTTATTCATCTTAATTTTCATTTGTCAGACTACAAACAAAAGCAATAAAGTAGGAGGCACCGTTATTTTTATATATGTGTGTTTATTGGAAGTAATTTAATGGACTTACAAGCTTTGTTTTTAATTTAACATGTTGTTTTGTTTTGCATTCTGCAGCATCTAAGTTGCAAATGACTATATTTCACAAATCATCTATAAATGTTCATGAACCTGTACCAGGAAATCATTTTGTAACTGCATTTTTTTTTCTGTCCCTAGAGTTCATTCTCCAAACTATATTCCCTTGTTGGCTGATATATGGAGTGACACAAGAAGGTGGAAGGAGGACCAGGATCCCCCGCTTGATCTTGCCATGAAAGAGCTTAGGATCCTTCAAGGTCTGGAGAGATCATCACGAGAAAGCAAAGGAATTCTAGCTTCTCATAATTCTCCTCTAGTAAGAATGCGTACAGTTTACAAATTCTAAAAACAAAACACAGAGTAATGAAAGTTTGAAAGAAATGATGTATTCCATGTTTTAAAAACCAGAGGCTTTCTCCAGAGTACAGTTTATCAAAAGTAAGCTGCCTTGATGCCGTAGAACTAAAACAAAAAAATAATGCTTTGTAGGGAAAGCCTCGATAATAATTAAGATTTTTTTTAAAAACAAAACAAAACACGGCAACCTATTTTCTAGCATTGGGATCCACAAATGGCATTTTATTTTGCATACAAGTCATGGAAATGTCTCCTAGAAATGATATGCACTGAAAACCTTCCCGTAAACCCTGAAACTCCACCTTATTTAGGGTGTATCCATCAAGCGTGGAGTATGGGTAATGGAAATGAAAAATTTAGCCACAAATAGCCAAATTGGAAAAAACTATTCCACTCAGGCCTAGACTTTGCAGTTACTTGTTACATTCTCCAACATTCCCAGTTTCACCTGACATTCATGCAAATCTATTCCTGTATCCCATAATCTTTCATTTGTTTATTTTTAGATCTGTACCTAATGTAGCGGATGGCACTGGGCTGTCCTGCAAATGTCTTTGAAATAATTGCATTCGTGTGATCTGCTAGTTTTCTATGTGTTTTAAAGCCTTGTATTCTTGTGATTGTTCGGTAGTTTCATTCCCTTAGTTTATTCGAATGAAACTACCGAACAACCAGACCTCCCCTGTGTGAAGTGTGTCCTCAATTACCCGTTGCAACATTGTTGCGAACGGGTAATTGAACAGTAAGTAGCCGTCC